ATGGAAACAAGAGCAAAGAGCAAAGACCAATTGCAAAAGAATTTTCTTCCCAAAGCATAAAAGCTTCTAGCTGTGCCAGGACTTGCGAGTCCCTCAGGACTTTGCGCCATTGCCAGAAAAGCTTTTCAATTTGTCGACTGGTTAGCTACTTGATTAGTTGATAAATCGGAAAGTCGCGAGTCTTCGTTCGCGCTTCAAGCTCTCCGCCTTCGAGATTGGATTGGCGAAATTCTCAAATTATTTAAATCTCGCGAACGAGCTGCGTCTGGCTCTCGACTCGTAATCAGCTGTAGTCATACGTACTTTCCTCCCATACGTATAGACGCGCAGGCACTTGGATGCGCTTAGATACTCCCTAGTAGACGTTTCCGAATATTCCTCCTCGAGTGCACTGGGCGCTCTGCAGGAGATTGAGTAGCGCATCCCTTCTCCACTTCTCAAAGGAATATCTCCTGGAAATCCTGAGACGCGTCGTCGCGTCGAGGGCGAAGGAAGACGCTTTCCTCAAAATTGGCTGATTAACGTGGCAAAAGCGGGATCGCCGGATAGGCCGCCCCTGTAGCTGTGGCCAGTGGGCAGTGGCCGTCCTCGCCACCCTCGCCACCCTCGCCACCCTCGCCACCCTCGCCGTCCCTGCGTTGCCAGTAGCCTCGCCTAATGAAAGAAAGAAATAATCACCAGTCAGCGGGGCGAACGGTTGCCGCCGCCTGCATCGCTGCTGCGCCAAGACGCACAATCATTCTCTGATCTATTAATTGCGTGATTTCCGAGCAACCCGAAGAGAAACAAGATTTTTCAGCGTTGATCAAGTTTTTGTTTGCCAGAAGAAGTTTGATCATTCTTAATACGAACCTATCGATCGATCTGGTTATTAAATTCTCTTTAGGTACTTTGAGAATCAGTCGACATCTTCTGACAGTCGCTTCGTCTTCGCAGCATCCTTTCTAGCAGGACGATGGACCATTCCATCACAGAGTGTTTGGCTGAGCCGGTACTTGCAAGAGGGTGACAAAAAATGTTTATACAGCAATCCTGTTGTCCTCGCTGCTTCTCTCGGGTTATGGTGGAGGGAGTTATGCGTTCGAAGATGCTTTGCCCGTTCTTTTTATTATTATTTCCCTTTGTATCAGGAGCCCTCAGCTTCCTCCCTCAATTCTCATCGCGCTGCATCCCGTGGCGGCTCTTTCCGAGCGCTTGTCTACTCTCTGGCCAGGAAGATGCTGCTGGAGCTGGGCGTCTATTCTCAATAGCGAGAAAGGCGATGACGCGGAGAGCCGTTGTCGCGCGATGATTATTCAGAGTGATCGAGGGCGTTCCCAAAGCAGTACAAATTGAACCGTAAGAGATTGCTCGCTCCCTCCCCGCTTCCACGTCCCACGTTCGTCCATAACTCTCCGTTCGTCTTCCAGCCACGCATCGTTCCGACCGTGTATCCGTCCGTATCCATCCGTATCCATCCATCGGTCGGCGATTCCGTCGGTTTCTGCCTTAAAACGCGTTGGAGTTCCAGTATTAAAAGCACGTCTCATTTATTCGAGCGATGCTTCATGATCATTTTTGGTAAGATTAAGCCGCGTCTCTCGACTCCTAACTCCCCCCACCCCCCACCCATCCTAGTATTCAGACTCCCCGGGTCCCTGAATCTGCCATCCTATCTCGTTGCTTCGCTTATCTCGTTGGCCCTTGATCTTCCCCTCTACCCCCGTCCTGGCGTCCTCCTGTGGCGTCCCCCGTCGCTTCGCGTCCACTACGCTTCTACTCGAGCGAATCTCACAATCGGGCTACGCAGAACTAGCAAAACCGAAGAAAATTACGAGGAGAAGGCGAGTGGCAGAGCCCTCGACGATGGTCACCGTTAACCTCGAAGCGGATGACCTATGACACGTGTATAGTGCTCTGCTCCAAGGAAAACGACAGATTCCTCATTCGGTCGTTCATTCGAGAACGAACAAACGACATTGAGGCAGGTCAGCCAAATAAGGAGTGGCTAATTCTTGGTTGTGATTCGCGAAAGCACAGTCGAAAGCACCCTTATTTCTGGCGATGCTCCTTGATCGCTGACCTACTCCGCTCTCCTCGCTATAACTCAAATTTTCCCGTCGCACCTACTCTGCAAACTGGGGTACCTATATGCGAATCACGACATCGCTACTTATCTTTTACTTGACGCAAGAATTTTAAAGAAATTATTTTCTAGAACAACAATAGTTTTACTCTCCGAAAACAGCGTGCTGTCCTAAAGGAGAATTGGGTTCGACGCGAGCGACGCGATTAACAGCTGCGCTCCTACAGTACAAGCTATGGCTTAATAAGCACTTGGGGAAGCCTTGAGCCTTGAGCCTTGAGCCTTAAAGCTCGCGGTTCGTGTGAATTCGTATGAGTTTGTACGAACTTTGTCGCAATTTTAAAGAAAAAGAATTCTCTCCCCGGGCAACCGGATATCTTGGATGCCAAGAACCATTTCTAGGAGTACACCCGCTTAACAAAGTCTTCTCTACAGACGCGTCGCCGCTTCCAGTTCTTGCTTTGCGCCTAGACTCGCTGCTTCTTGTCCGACAATGAGCTGCATCTTGGGCCCCGGCCGCTTCCAAGGCTCCTATTTTCTGTTCTGCTTTGTACCTTCTTTCGTGTCTGACCCTCTTGCAGCTCATCTCCTGCGTAATACCGTTCACTTCGGGACGACATGTAGAAACGTGGAGATAACGACCCAGCTGAATTTTAGTGCGACGGATAATTACGCTCCCTGGGAATGGGCCCGGGGGACTTTGAGGCCCAGGGCCTCACCAGTCAAAGTCTGGCCTGTTATTCCCAACGTAAACAACGTCATTATCGTCTTACGGAATGGACTTTCGAAAACTATTAATATTTATATGAGGTGAAGGGATGAACTTGGTACGTGGGATGCTCGCGAGACGCTCCAGATTGCTCGAAAGGGACTAAAAGTAAATAAATAATTACAGAAATGTACGTTAAAGATTACAAGTATCCCGGTAACCATTGACTATAATCTCGTGCAAGTATTTCGTCTTCATGGCCAGCATGATGCCGGCCAATTCCTGGCCACCATGGATTATTTGCTCGAATATCGAATAGCGTAGCAGAATGAATATTTGAAAGATAAAAAAGACCCAACGAGACGTCGTATGGCGATTGCCGTGGCGAAGTTTCCCTTCCGCTCCGGCACGATTTCCCTTTAATTATATTTAATAACATCGCTATCTGGCGCTCCGTCGAACCCGCGCAAAAATACCGCTATTCGGTATGCCGTGATGTTAGCAGCCTGACTCGCAGACCGCGGCTGGCATGCACCGCACCAAACAAGCGTCTGTAGCCGGCAAGTGAACATCCGAAAAATATTGGATAATTTCCCTGCGAATTTTTTCCCGTTGGCTGCGGTTTCTGGGCCGCATGGGCCGCATGGGCCGCATGGCCAGCCGGTACACAAGCATCCTCATTAATCGGATTTTAATGACGAACAGCGCGAGTTTTCTTGGAAGACGCGTGTTAAGGGTCGTGGAGCATCGCGAGTCTCTTAACGAGCCCTGACGGCCGAGCAGCGTGGCTGCTCACCGACTGCTCGCTACCCGGTGACGGGACTCTGTTCGCTCCCATTGACACTCTCGTCCTCGTGAAGGAGTCTAACTAGGGCTTTGTGAAGCTGCTGCCTTGCGGAACAGGCAGGAATACAAGGTGGCGGCCCAGCAAGTGGAAGGTGATTCCTTCCTGCTGGCAGCATCCTGCCTGCCACCATCTCAGGTGGCATGCCTTTTCAACGTGTTAATTGTACATTTTATGGGAGATGATAAACAAGTCTCGGTCGATAGTGCCTCCTAAGATCTTCGTTACCGCAAGTATTATGCTCTAGAAAGAATTTCTACTTTGTAATCGCTTTATGTATCGGTATCTATCAATTTTGACAAATTTATTTGTCATTTGACAACTAAAAGGAATGCAAGGGGCAGCTTTGCGTTTATGCGGTGAAACGATCCTGCGCACTCGAGGCAAATAGACGGAATAACGAGATGCCCTCCTTGGGCGAAAGACCGCATTCGATCGGCCCGATTCTTCTACGGTGTCTCTTCGGTTCGCTCTGGCGTGAAAAGGTACGCTACCTTGAGTGTCGAGGAGTGAACCGGTTCCCGGAGTTGAAAGTCTCTCTCCCCCTCCGTTTCTCTACTCTTTAACTTAGTCCTTTATTTTTTGGCCGAACTTCGAGCCCCTATCGATCTCCTTGGCTCCTTCAGCAACTCGATCATCGACGACCTGCACGCTTTTCAGGTGACTCCCGTATCACCGAGTGAAATTTTAACCCTGCTCTTGGGTACGCAAAAGCAGTACGCAATTTGAAGTTTTTGAAGTGATGGCAAGACGGACACGCCTACTTCTTGGCATCAGAATTTATTTATCGTCCCGACGCTTTTTCCTTTTTGCTAAATGCCACGTCGCTTAAGAATAAGACGTTCTTCAGTTCATGAAGTCAGGGCTTTCTTTTGGCTTTACTCTCCTATCTCTCATTCTTCCTAAAGGCAGCGAACTTTTCTTTATACATTCCTGTTGTATACCTCCCGGATACAAATTTTTGAGTCAACGAAAGATCATCAAATAACAAGTCCCGTTATCTTCCACAATATGTTCTCCAGCTATCTCGGCACTCTTCATCTTCTGACCCCCGAGGGTAGTGCCGATTTATCGAATCGTTATCCCAGTCAAGCGATTCACGGTGCTCTAACAGAAGCACGATACTTTGAATTGCGCACATGTTAGCAGTTAGTCTTCTCAGGACTCCCGGTTTTTTGCTACTTCTGAGGAATTTGACGAACTTGGTTGTGGTCGCGGGCGCGGACCAAAATGACGTCACTAGAAACGATAGGATGTGGAATACATAGATTCTGGAGAGCAGGAACAGAGTCCGAGACTCGATTTGAATTCCATATCCTGTCCTCTCCTCGAATCTCTCAAAAACATTTTAACAGGGGTCTCCCTTTCCTCGTTTCTTCCAGATAAATATGGAGGCTGTCACTTCCACGGACTACGACTCGAGCAATCTCAGCCGTAACTTCAATCAGGTGGGCTTCAACACGTACAATTATTCGCAGTTCGAAGAGAAGTACAAGCCCCGCCAGTTCTTCAAGTACGGAGACGAGTACCTCGAGTACGGGCGCAACTCGGTTCGCCTGGGATTGGATTCACGTGCCACGATTAAGCATTCTGGTCAAGATGCCTCGGCGAAGCTCAGTCAGAGATACTCGCGCAGTCATTCCCAGCCGGAACGACGTCATAACTCCCAGAACGAAACGCGCTCAAAGTCTCAGAATTCCCATGAACTCACGATATATCAGATCGATCCGCCAATAAAACACGAGAATCAATATGGCAAGTTCAATCGTTCGAGCGCTGATAAAGTGACCTGCTGTAAGAAGGAGCTGACCTTCTATGAGATGAACGGTCCACCGGGTGCTCAACAACAGCAGGACAAAGCCAAGGAGTCCATGTACATTCAGCCCGACAAGAGCGATAAGCGCGACAAAAGTAGTCTGATACCAAAGTACTTGAGTCAGAACAAGTCCTCGCAGCAGCAGCAGCAGCAGCAGCAGCAGCAACAACAACAACCCGATCAGAAGTATGTGCCACCCAGCTACCAGCTGAACAGATCACAGTCCGATCTAACGGAATGCCAATTACCGAACTACAGCCAGGGACATCATCAACGCAACCCTTACATCGATCCACCCAAGTATCGTCAATACGAGAGACCGCCGCGATACCAGGAGACGCCGCCAAAGTCCGAGCCACCGCCAAAATACGCCGAAGTGACCAGACGTCAGGAAGATCTCAAACGACTCCAGGTAAGTTCACTTTCCATCGGCTAAGTATATTGCGGAATGTTCACGTAACGCACGTGGAACTTGAACGTTCTCGATACGGTAACGTTTGAATTGAGAACCTTTCTCTAGTATACAGGGGATGACTAAGAGTAGGAAATAAATGGGAGTTCAAGGGAGATCCAGATTCAGAAATCGGTAGTGAGAAATTAGGAATGAGGAATATGTATAAGGAATAAGAATAGACCGCATGGTGGCTTATCATTGGCAGGAGGAGAGGGGGCGCCGTCAGAGTAGTAGAGGAGTGGCGCTCGGCACCGAGGCACCCGCTAATCTGGCCAGTATCACGCCGAACGCGCGAGAAGCAGTACGCGTCCCGACGCGCCAGCGTCCGACGCACAAGCCCAGCGACGTGCGTGTCAAGTCGAGCGACGCGGATCAGCAGCATCAATTGATCCAGTACGAGAGCAGCGATGACTCTGATATCGATTCGAAGCTCGACATGTTGAAGGTCAACCAACCTAACGGCAGCGCACCCGGTGTCGGTGGTTGCGCTTCCGGTCCTACTCAGCTGACTCTCAACGCTAGTGCTAGTGTGACTGGTGGTCGTGGTGGTGGTGGTGGTGGTGGTGGTGATGGTGGTGGTGGTTCTGGTGGTGGTTCTGGTGTTGGTGCTAGTGCTGGTGCTGGTGCTAGTGTAATAATACCAAGAAGTGTGTCACCGGAAGGGAAGGAAAAACTGAAAGGCACAGTAGACTCTCTGCTGAAAACTAGCGAGGCTGTTCAGGGTAGAATAAACGAAAAATCAATGCTCAAAATTGAAAAGACCAGGGGTCTGCAGGAGACCGCAAAAAGTCACTCGGAGAAGACCAAGTCGTTACATCAGGATGAGATGACCAGGAGCAGGTCTTTGGCCTACGATTCAACCGGGTACAAGGTTGAAAACATCAAGTACTATGGTGAACTCAAAGGATACGACTTCAAGTCGTACGGGACCATAGACAAACCGGCCACGGGCAACTCGCACGAGAAATTCCATCAACATTCTGAGAAGTCTTGCCATCAAAGTTCCCACGAGAAGAGCCACGCGAAGATCAATCAGTGTTACGGCACGCAAGGCAAGCAGCTCAGTGTTCAGACAGTCGAGGGTTTCGCCAAGCCCAATGGTTGCGGTGACAAGTATCCGGATCATTACTATCACAGATCGGCGCACTCAAAACCAAACGCCTCCCATGTCTATCAGGAAAGCAAGTACTCGTACAACGTGAGTGGCATACCTGGATCTCCGGCGCAAGCCAGCGCAGCCGCAGCGTTCTTCGCAAGGTAGGACGATTTCCTCACAATCAGTCGCTCATTCCACTCGATTCATTCATCCATTTCATCCATTTCATCCATTTCATCCATTTCATCCATTTCATCCATTCACTCGTTTATCCATCCACTCTCGTCGCGTTGTTATCCATTGTCCTTGATTGTTGGTTTTTTGTTTTTTAATTATCGCCCACCAGAGCGAGTAGCGTCTTATTGGAATACTTTATGTGCGTCCGATCCGCACTCCGTGAATTGCGGTGCTCTCTGCGCCTACGTCTACAAGATTTATCGAGTGGAAGTGTAAACGTTTGATTTTTATTGAGCTCACAACCCCCGTGGGAATTTATGATCCTGCGCGACCACCAAGGGGATTACTACTCCCTCAGTTTATCCAGCGTCGAACTAACGGGATGCTTCCTTTTGACGCTTGAACCTTGACTTTTTTATACGAATCCTTTTTCAGAACCCTACCAAGATTGTTACTCCAGATGTAGGAGCAAGCAGGACATTAGACTGAGGTTTAATTGAAAAAAAATAGCTGACCTATGACCCTGTAGGCTTCACTTCGAACTATAAGTCTCCGTGTCCTCCCCTTCGCGCTCTACTTCATGATGGAGTTTATACAACAGGTACCTAGGTCTTGACCCCCATCGAGTATAAGCGCAAGCGAAACATACGGCGCGGCAAATCTCGTAGACATCCGCCACAGACGAAGCAGCATCTCTTCCGGGGGAAGAGACGCAGAATTCAGAGAAAAATTACTTGAAATCTCGGAGACTCGCGGAGCACAATGAAATTCGTAATCCGACCTTTGACGCGGTTTTCGCTCCTTCGTGTGAGGATGATCAATAGTTTCGTCTTACGACTTTTCCATCGCACTGCTTTCCTATATCGTCTCCTTGGTGCTTTCGTCTAATATACATATCGTAAGAAAAGTTATGTCACGTTTCAAGATCCCTTTTTTCGATCGCAAATCTTCTTGCAAACTATATATGTACACATAAGTATATATATATCGTTCGTATTTTCCTGTAGTACTCTTGATCCTCGTTAACGAATGAGCTGATGGTTCAAGGGAGGAAAAAAAGCAAGTCCTTGAAATTTCATTCCATGAGACTTGCAGGCAGTACACTCTTCAGGAATATGCAGGTCTTTCTGGCTGGAAATTGAAATCTTTCTATCATGCTTTTTTGAGCTAGAATAAGTAAATCGACTGGCTTCGTTTGGATGATTCGCAAGGATGAGCTGATTGGTTGGTTGACTGGCAGTCTGGCAGACTTTAGGCACTCCTGACTTCTCGTAGCAGGAACTTGAGTTGCTCGTCGAGATTTTATTGCTGGTTGCACCTTTGTATTGGCTGCCCTTCTTTCTTCATTTACGTAGCTTCGCCTGGCAGCTCCTCCTCGCGATACAAATGCGAGCAAACGACTCTCGTCGGGTTACTAGGATGCGCAAGAGAGATAGATTGACGCAGATAGTGCTATGTCAGCAACGGCGGGGCCAATGCTTTCGCATTACGGGTAATTCGAGCTCGATTCCAGAGAGCCTCTTTGCGCCACGAGATTTCAGACTGCCAGACTGCCAGACTGCCAGACTTCCAGGCTAGTAACAGGACGTCGATGAACTTGCCGCAGGAATATTAAGAGCGGTCGTTTCATTAACGATCCGACACGAAAACATGGAACGTGCGAGAATTTGAGCGCGACTTTCTTTAGCTCTCGCCATCAATCGATCATTACTGATGGCGACGTCGCCCAGGACGCTTGGGAATGCCTCTCTGTTTCTGATAGTGTCAGTCAGACAGCACGTCTAGAGATCTCTGAATGATATCGATGGAAGCGTACTGCAGTCAGGCTCCATCAACTGCCAATACAATAATCTCGAAATATTGATAAGCCCATAAAACGGTGGCGTCGCCAAGGGAAAGAGACGTCGGGCGCAACGACGAGTTCAGTTGTTTGACATTGGTTCCTCTTGATCTTCCAATGTGGCTTATCCTCTATACGTCTATGTAGTACATACTTGGAGAAATTTGTGCATGCACGCGTATACGTTTGATGTATACGTGTTTGAATCGTCCAAAGCGTCCAAAGCGGTGCCATCGCTCGCATTACTCCTTCGTAAATCCTACTGGCATCTGATTGACGTGAACTTTGCCGTCAGTCAGCCACTATGAGAACAGGACACGAAGACGCGCATCGGCTGTCGATCGAGCCGACTCCCTATTAATCCGACGTGTCCAATGCATGTCTTTCGGAAGGAGGAGGTGCCTTGGTAACGGTAGACGCCATGGAGGAGGACCGGAGGCGACTCGAAGCTTCGCGGAAGCCGCAGCGTTGCCACAGGTTGCTTAGAGGCTGCTTCTACGTAGTTTGAGAACGAGAGCGAGAGACCAGTTGCTACTCCGAGTTCAGAGCAATAGATCCGGTAAGCGCAACTCGGCCGTTAAAAAAGCGCGACTGAACTGTTCTCGGGAGTGTCACACGCAGGGGATTCATCGGTGGTCGGCGTCAATCCCGAATCCTCTGGGTCACTGGAGTTGCGATCCACCGTTCAACAGGTAGCGCTCGTAGCGCTCGTAGCGCTCGTAGCGCTCGTAGCCGAGTCCGCGAGGCAGCCCTCTCCATTATATTCATATCATGTAAATGCGGCCAGCCACCCCAGCTCACTCCATTTCCCAAGCGCGCTCCCAACCAGCGTGCCTACTCCGCTCTCTCCGCTCTCTCCGCTCTCTCCGCTCTCTCCGCTCTCTGCATCGCGCACAGTACGGCACACAGGAGTCCACTCGATTGCGCAGAGTAGCGGACTGTGTGCGACCTAGGACTCTGCTTTGCATTTATTCTCATTCGATGACAGTCAGGCACTTTCACGGGACACTTTGCTTTTTCACTCCTGCACTCCCCGGAGTGACCTTGGTGGCTCGAGATCTCCCCCTAAAGGGGGAAATTCCTGGGAGAGACGTACGTACGAGGGGCAAGAGTATCAAGACAATCAAAAGGAGAGAAAAAGAGAGGGAGAGAGAGAGGGAGCAGGTGCAGGATATTCCTAGTGACGCGGCCTTAAGTTCGAGCCTTTACGATCAATAGGCCGTGCAAGGCGCCGGAATCTTAACGAGTTTCACAAGAGCGATTATTGAGAACCGATATAGGATGCGGCTACTCTGGACGGAGCCGTGCGCGAGGGCGCTCTGGAAAAAGGCCGTAATCGGCTTCCCGAGCGCACCTCTGCAGCCGCTACGTGGTCCTATGTCCCTCTCGTTATGTCACTTAGGCGCGATGCGTTTACTTAACAATTTATTCCCGTGTTCGCTTGAAACGCAGTTTTCGCCCCTTTCTCTTCGCACTCTTTCTCTTTTGTCTTCCTTGTTCCTCCTCCGTCTTCTCATTTGCTCGCATCATCCATCCCGGAGAGTCGCGGCCAACTGCGTTCGTTGGCATCCTCGGGAGCGATTTGCCAGAATCCGCACCGCTCGTACGATTAACCGGTCGGCTGGTTCGCCGCCTAAGAAATGAAATTCGTGCAAGCAGCCCCGAGCGAATCGCTCCGCGCGAAACGCGTCAACTGGCGCTGACGCACGTCGCCACGAAGGACCGAAGCTTGCGAAAGGACTCAAGGACTCGCGAGTGGCTGCTGTTCCTCCTTGGCGAATTGGCGAATTGGCGAATCGGGCACGCGAGTCCCCGATTCGTTCTGCGTACCGAGCACGTCGGCTCGGCCGATCATTAATTATCAGGCATTACGTTGTAGCGGAACGATTCGAATCAATTTGGCCGGTGACCCCGGGGAGTCGGCAAAGTTCATATATCACTGAGAAACCGGGCAATCAAGGAAGAATGGAGGAGAGACGCCTTTGGCTTTCCTTTCGGCTCCTCGATCGCTGCTTCCTCGTATCGATGAGGAACGCGCGGGGGCGGGGGATTCCTGTCACGTTAGTGTCTCTTGAAAAAGGGATGAGCCTAGATTCGCTTTCTTTCTCTTTTATCTTTCCGTTTCCTTCGTTCCTTTTACCAGCTGAGACTTGAATTTCGGACGTTCCTGCCGACAGGGGTCAGCCTGCGATAGGACGCCGGTGTAGGGGTGACGCAGGGTTCATTTCGTTTCTGTGGGCATTCCTGCCGAAATCTTGGTTTCCTTAAGGTCCTCCGAACGAAAAGCGATTGGAGTGACAAACTACCCTTGTAGGTTCGAGGTTGTTTCCATACCTACACAATTGCAAGCCTCGATTCCCTGTACCTTAAGTATGTATATACATGTCACGCATGACGCATAGTCGAGCGTTTTTAATTTGTAAAAAGCAGCCCAGGCATTTGGAAGCGCCGCGACGCGTTCTGAATTTCATTGCAGCCAATCGCTTGGTTATTCTCGTGGCGATACAGAGAACGAGTACGTAGTAGGTACATAGGTATAGGAGCGACTCTCAGGCCGCCGCTCGAATAGTCCACGAATTCTTCTCAAAGCGTCGCGCTCCTCTTCGCGATCTCTCTCTTTCTTCTTTCTTCTCCAACTCTCTCTCTCTCTCTCTCTCTCTCTCTCTCTCTCTGTATGCGACTGCTGTGCACAACGCGTCTCTCCAACCAGAACGCACCAGTCTAAGTTTGTCAGCTATACCATCACATTAAAACTTTTCGACGGCTGTGATCATTCAAAGGCGAAGCCACGACACCTGAGCCATCTAACAACGAGTCGATTCCTCGAAGGGTGCAGGGAGCTCGTTTTTCGGGATCATCAGAGTGTCTCTTAATTTTCGGCATCGTACCTGTCCGGTGCAGGATTTGCTATCCTCTTCGAGATTACGTAGTAAGCATTTCCGCGATATTCTTCCTGAGGCACTACGAGCCACTTCACCTATACATAGTGTACATATAGGACGTATGCTGCATGCTGCACAACCCGTCGGACATTATCTTTATTACCGTTCGTAGTTGACGATTGTAGATTCAATTATAGATTCTGGCAGGTGCCCACTCGGATAAAATAACTACGCGTCTACTCAAAATATCCTTAGAGTCTCA